AATATTGGAACACGCCGTATATGACGAATTTGTGCACGACACTATAGTTACACACGAATACACTATAAATAATTCTGACGACCATCTAAGGAATAAGGATGTTTATGTAGGATTGTCAGAAATGTGTGGCTGGAACTAAAATCACACGTTTAGAATGGTCTCTACACCTCAAAATAATGCACCACGACAGATGGATGGTTAATCAATTATTACGAATAAAAAAATGTATTTACTGAATTGTGTTGTGTAAAATTGTCAAGTACGTAACAATATAATACCTACCAGATTCCCATATTTTATACATACAGTTAATACACTATTTATTAATATCTATAATGATAAAATGCGATTCAGAATAATAATTAATAACCATGGTATATTAATATACTATATCGAAATCATATTGTTCAATCAAAAATTAGCAAAACTATTTATGTCACATATTTCTAAGGAATATTCTATCCACTGATAGTTCGAAGTATAATTGTTGTGCTTACGAGCTCGATATTGGGAAATGTCAAGTATAATATAATATATATTATATAATTTGGTTTAAACAGGTTCAAATAGGTTGTATTTTGTTTAACTGTTCCAAACAGACACTGGAATTCTTAATCAACACATATTAAAAACTTATCTTTTTTATTCTTCTATGGAAGTTTAATATTAATATATCTAATATACATTATCCAATGCCGATAGAAACAATCCACAAAGATTATATTTAAAAATCACTAGGGTAAAATATTATTTATGATACTCGCTGTATATTAGTATTTACTATCTAGTTATGTACTCCGAACTATATTTCCAATTTTTCCAACACCTTCGCCGTACACCACCCCCACTACTACAATCATACAAAGTCCTTGGTTTCGACGACATCTCGTTAGAAAACCGCACGCTTGCTACAAAAACATAACGACTTATGCAATTTTTTATTCGACCACCGTCCTCATAATATAACAACCACCACGATAATGATTAATTATACTATTATTCTATTAAAATTCAACCATATGCAATCGATCACTATATTAATTTTATGTAGGCTTGAATCAAACTTAAACACAAATACCAAAACAACCCACAACACTACCTACTCTTATGAAATCTTTATATTATGCCTTTGTGAGGTGGATTTTGGAATATGTTATGTGGGATGCAGATAGGTATGTTTTTTATTTTTGTAGGGTATACTCGTAAATTAAAAATGTATCACCACCCCACGACAATTATTTAGTACATCTAGTTATGTACAGGGTTGGTCAGAATTCGTTAGCTGACAGAAGGCTTAAAGCGAATTTAACTTACCTAAGACGCTTCATTGATGGTATTATTGATTCTCTCGAACTATTAAAACAAATTAACGTTAAAGCTTTAAAGCTCTAACCTTTCATTCTCATCACGAGTATTTATTTTCTTTACTTATATGCAACATAACGTATTCAAAAAACCAACCATTACATAAAATGTGTGGAGTATAGCAAATAAGGATCTATCAACTCTATTAGTTTAAATATTTTATACGTATTGTGCATAATATTTTGTATATATTTACAATATTGTATTGGTTTGGGTATATCCCCATGTTGTAATAAAATAAAATAAATACAAATAAAATAATTAGTTGGAGTACAAAACTTCGGAAGCTATTTTTTTTGAATGTGGGAGGAACTGTATTAGTTTGGAAACATATTTAGTCGGAGAAGTATTTACTTGGAAACGTATTTTGTTAAAAAAAAGTATTTAATCAGAAACGATTATGCGTTTGGAATTTAAACCACCGGAAAATATTATTTTGTAAACGTATTTAATTGAAATGTACTTTGTCGGAATAGTATATAAGTTGGGAATTGTAATTTGTTTGAAATTAATTTTTTCGGAACTGTATACTATAACACAATAATATACATTTCCAACAAAATATTTTACATAAAAATACGGTTCCAAAAATATATTATTCAGTATAGGTATTATAGTTCCATCAACATATGTTAACAACACAATATTTTCCATGCTTTCAAAGCTTATAACTAAATACAACAATGTTCAGACCACCAATTAATAATAATTGGTAATACTAGATTTTGATACTGTATTAATGTAACACAAAGTCGTTGTAAATAAAGTTGAGTAGGTAGGTGTCCGATTTAGTACGACCGTTGTTTAATATGAAGAGACATTTTTTTGTCAAGTGTTGTTACTTGTTAGGTGACAACCGGAAATTTGTTCCAATAGGCACATCTACAGTCTACAATCATGTTCCTTAAGATTTGAATTTCAACGGATAGGTAAGCTATGGAATTAAGCGCTTAAGATCGAAGTTTTATGGAAAAGTGTAAACATTCATTCTGTGTCCTAGATAATATAGTATTATGATTGAAAACATGTTTGCAATTTTCGGTAGGTGACTGGTAAACAATAAGACCTCAAGAGCACAGTAAAATCTCACCTGTCACAGTTTCTAATTTGTGCGTTTTACACCTGCTGACTTGCGTTGAGTTACTATTCATACAATGACCGTATGGTCGTTCCGCAAAAAATTATATATTATATTATGGATAAGAAGAACTATTTTATTTCAGAATTGCTGTTATTTTTACAAAAATTAACAATTATAATAAAATTGCATACCTAATGAATATGCTTTAAGAAATTATATTTTTGAAAATACCTTAAATGTGCAATTTTATTTATTAGGATTTAATGGTGTGATATCATTTGTGGTTAAAAAAACCTTGATGAATATCTTATGACTTATATTAAACCCACAACATTTGCTTTGAATTTGGTTTAGCTGCTTGATCAATTTGACCTTGTTAAAGAAATTAAAGCTATAAACGATTCTCGATAATATATTTAATTAATTTAAATTATACCAAAATATGAAACACATATCAAATATTTTTTTCATTTTCAATATTTAGTTAAATACTACATAAAGTATGATTTACAATTCATGATTTGTGATTCGTTTTTCTAATTTTTCAATATCAGATGGTATACTATAATTACTCAAATTAATTGAATATCTATACCTATACAAACGTATAGTGAGGAGCTATTAATTATAGTTTTTAAATGTTGAAATAATAATTTTTGTTGTACGACCGTATTATGCTATATCCAACTAGGAATTTAAAATTATAAATGAAAATAATACATTTGTCTTTGAATTTTTTAACTGTCTTAGCAGTGAAATAATGTATACATGCAAAATATATACCAAACTACATATTTGGCGTTATATCAATGATACAGGTGCAAAACTGTTAGTTGCTCATATTTCCCGTAGTTGCCTATACAAAATTATAAATTTTATAAATTTTAATAGGACTAAGATGTCTAAAAACATTCTTTAAATTATAAAATTAAAACACCATATGGATACATTTCAATATTTAAGGCGGCATTGAGTGATGACGACATTTGCATTTATTTAAATATTCAAGCATTTATATTGTGAACAATATTCATTGCGGAGTATCGGCAGTTGTTGGTTAGAATATGATAAATAATTGACCATGCGACCCCAATAAATGTTAAATAATAGATTAAAATATAATACGGTCATGAAATTATAACATGCATGGTTGAAACCATGGCGAATCTTTGATTTTCTAGAATAAAAGGTTATTTGTTTAGGTACCCACAAACTCACAAATACAATAATATATTATAATCTGCATATTTGTACCTAAATTCAAATTTAAATTTAACTGTTCCATAATATGTCTATATTTTACTACTTTTAGTCAATAATTCTTATCACATAATAGTTATTTTGAGAAAATTGTATAATAATATGGAAATGACAATATTTGACATTAAATTTAAACAATATCAGTTAACTTAAGTTTCCAACAAAACGTTGAAAAACTAAAGAACGGTTTGATAAAATAAAAACTCGCACGTGGAATTATCGTGACCTAAATATGTAACGTACGAATACTACCTACAATATGTATATTATTATGTATAATGTAGGTACACAACTTTATTATTGTAGCAGGTATAATATTTTTTGAATTTCGCACTTATACAAATTGTAAGTCAAACACAAAAAAAACTTACGTGCATATGTAAAAGTTTTTATTTTTTGAAATAGGAATTAAATTAATATTTTGTGCTTTTATATTATAGCATATTAGTTTTTAAGACATGACAAATTATAAAAAAGTATATCGATATGCGTAGGTACGTGGTGTCGTAAATTGGACGTTCAACCGTAGGTAGATAATACAATTATTTACAAATCAACCAAAGTAAATGTTATCAATGTCGCAAATAATAATACATAGTATAATAAGTTATTATTATATATTATATTGCATAATATCGTTGAATTAAAATATTGTAATTTTCATTATTTTATTTATAGTAAATCATTCGATTTTTTTACACGCGCATTTTTTACTGTTACTTGACGAGATTTTGTAACACCCCTACTTAACTTAATTTTCATAATGAAGTAGTATTGAATATAAATGTATAACTACCAAACTAACGCTGTTTTAAAAAGTTTTTTGTATGTATTACGTATTTACACATTAGTAATAATACGTTTTGAATCACTAAACATTTATTTTTGAAATAGAAGAATATAGTTACTTACGTATACGTTTTAAACCATAAAAAGAGATACAATTACATTAATACAATGGATTTATTCATGTTGGTTTACATATTTTTAGATATGTTAAGAATATATATGTATAGGTGTTTTGAGTAATTTTTTTGTCGTTCTCCCCCTTTCAAAATTCCTGTCCACGCCACTGAGCATCTATGACCAATATTTATAATGTTGTAAGCGAAGTGGTGACCTCGGGACAGCATAAACGCTTTAGTTGACCTGTTAAGTTAAGGCAACTTTTGCGAGGACGAAAACGAAACAAGACTCGAATATACTCATGAAAACGCCGAGCCGGTCGGAAACTTTAGCGTTTATTTATACACATACAGTGACATAAATTGAGACAACGATTACGCGCACTAACCTGAGCGGCGCTATGAGCCTTGTTTCCTGTTCTGGTTCCCGGTCGGAGCCGGATGCCTGCAGCTGTTCCGTACTCGATTCGGTGATAGTGGCGCCCACCACCGCATCGGCCGCCCGTAACTGGAGCCCCTCCTGCCGCTGCACCATCATCGCTGAGGCGACGGCGTCTTGAATGCTCCTTTTGCGGCCGTACTGTCTAGGTCTGGCAGTCGAAGACGTCGGCGACCGGAGCCTATCAGCGACGTCCACCGGGAACGGTATCGTCGACGACGAGCCGCCCGGCCGCGGTTTGGGTCTCAACGCCCTGGAACCGCTTGCGGCCACCGTTATCATGGCGGATGCGGGGATGGTGGTGTAAGTCTGTCGCTGCTGCAGCTCCGTGGACGGCGCCTGTGGCCGGCAACTGTCGCTGCGATAGTGGCGGTGGTGTCGCTGCAGCGGTACCCGCGCCGTCGACGTTGTAGCGTCCGCCGGCCACGGTCGCCCGTCGTCTGTTGACGGCCCCGGTTCCCCGGGCAACCGTTCGTCGCTCAAGCGCCGTTCCGCCGTCGCCTGCACCGCAGCAGTAACGCTCACTGTCACTGCCTCCTCTGCCACTGACGTACCACTGCAAAGGAAATGCATTTCAAATATTATTACAAGTTCTTGTTACTACAGGTCGACGGATTATTATTATGATATCTGAGTGAACAGTGGCCTATGCCGCAGCATCAAACATTCAACTGATTGATTGACATAAGTATAGTTTATTATTAGACCATTGTTGCGTTATCATTCATCTTTTATCAAAAAATGTATCAATCGACCAACATTATATAGTGCTATATCGAGTGTAAAGTAAAAATAAATAAAGATTGGCCCGTGTATTAAAATATTTTTAATTCAAAATAAAATCTCTTATAAATTTTGAAAAAATGTGATGGGGTAGGTTCAACCCTTTATCCAGCCTGGGCTCTGGCTAACTGGTTATTATATATTATAAATGTATTAAGGAAAAATAAATTATGAATTTCTTTGGTATAAAACATTCACATAGAAATGTATTATTATTATCTTTTATTGTATTTCGATATTATACTAGTTGATTGTTATTTTATTTCAATATGTTTATGTTTTTGTTTCATAACACTTATTTCCCATTATCAGTTATCAATATATTGGCAACATCGAATATCAAATTAAATTACATGTACATAATATATTATATGCACTCATGTGCTAAATCGTGTACCTATAAAGTAAATGTTAATCATGTTATTGATAGTCGATGCTAAACTTATATTGTGCTTATAGATAATTGGTAACGTATTTGTGGATTATTTGATTGCATATTTCAGATTAATCAATTGTTTAAACGACTTAAAACACAGTATTTAATGGTAAGTAATAATATTTTTATCGGGCTGTATATTATTCATGATAATAATAATCAATACAAAATGAATATTTTTATTCTTATTTATTAGAATATTATTAACTACAAATGGGTATAGATAAGTTCGCAATTCATAATTGTAACTTGTAGTATGTAATAATTTCTTATACGAATAAAAATAAATAATCAACTAGAAATTGATTTAAAAAATAATTTAACTTCCTTTTATTGTATATTCTACAAATGCACCTTCATCTTGTTCGATATAAATGTGTTGAGTATTCAACTTGTAGTAATAACAGGTATAATTTTTAACACATACGTATAATCTAATAAATAACAATATTATATAGCAAGAACAGTTTTCTAAAGTAGTTTGATACTATAATATGGTTATAAAAATGTTTTTAAAAAAGTTGAAACATTATAGTTATAGTTTGTAGGTATTTCATTTTATTGTTAAAAAATATTAAAGTTTGAATATAAAAATTGTGCTAAATTAATAATTATCGCTATTTATAATTCACTAGGTATACATGCAATATTATTTTATAGATGATTCTCATATCACATAATTTTTAACTAACCACATTATAATATTATGCATATTATACTCTGCATAATATCAAAAATATTCATATACAATTTAAAAACCTACATATTTTAATAAATAAAAAAATATATGAAATTTACAAACCAACCTACTAAAATGGTATTTTCAGGGACGCTTGACGCCTAGTCAGAAATTGCGTTGGTTTATAAGCGATTTAGTCATTTAACGTATATTAGCGTATGTTATAATTTATAAACATTGGCAACAATTTTGAGTGGGATACATATTTTATTCATCAGAACTTACTTAATATGTATAGGTCAGCTCAACAAATTTACATTTTAAACTACCTACAAACTGTGTAAAATCAGTTATTTTCTTTTTGGACACAAAATTGAAAATTAAATGTCCCTTATTCAAGCACAGATATTTTCTTCAAAAATTAATCTCTTGCCTCTAAACACAAGCAATGCTTATAGTTATAATGGTTGCAAATGATTAATATATTATAGTGCGTATCGACAAATATCACAAATATAAACAAATAAACAAAGACCACAGTATATCGTATAATATGTTACTTGTATCTCATTAATATTATCGGCATCATGTAATCTTGATACACATGTTTTATTATTATCGCAGGACGAGACCTCAGAGCTAGTCTCCGAACAAGGCACATAGCCAGATATCCCAGTGTCAGTGCTGTGTGTCTATGTAAATTACGAGTGATACTGGTCAGAACTTTTTATTAAGTGTTATGCTACGCATTTCACGTCTCTATATCCGTTTTCTTGCAACGTCAAACAGCGGAACAGTATGGCGTCTTGCCGACTTATGTGGTAAAGCCCTTCCGGTAGTTGACGCTAGACGCTGCGTCTATAGGCGCGGCAAGGAAAACGTACAAAAGTATGAATCTACTCGTGTTATTACGTCCCCGAAGCTCTTCGGTTCTACTTACAGAGTGAGTGTGGATTACAAAAGGTATTATTTCTTATTAGTGTTTAAAGCTAATTCAAACGTTAGTAATCACGACCACTTCCATAATTATAATTTCCTCTAATAGGAGAAGAGAATAAAATAGAAAAAAAAACAATATTGGTTAACCTTAACTACCGGTTTCAACGCACGTCCTTTATTTTAATTTTATTGCATGGTTCAACTATAGTTTTCGAGTATAGGTTGTTAAACATTTTATGGCAAAATCTTATACTATTAAATATCTTTGGGCCATTTACCTATGCAATACCATTATCGTTTTCAGATATAATATCTCTAGAGAATATTAAAAATAGTTTTAAGAATTTTATTTAAATGCAGTTAAAATATTAATTACCTCTTTTATTATTTTATTAAAATATAAAATATTTATACATGGTTGTATTATTTTGATCGCAGATACTATATTTAATGCTACAATAATATTGAAACTGTTATTTAAATTAAATTATATGTGGTTTAGATAATCTTCAGTTTCATACTACACCTAGTCAATAATTCAATATAATTAAACAAGTTATTGATAATATGGCGTGAGTATGAATTATTCATTTTTTAAGAGGACCAACCACCAACACATAGTTTGATGTGTCATATAAAACAAACATTCTTTATATCCTATAATAATAGCTCACAGTTATTGTGGACTATTAAGTGATAAAAGTATTTTTGTTTGTGTCAATATTTTACCTAAACTTGAAATGATTTTCATGTGCAAATTGTTTCAAAGCTAGGTACTTATCTAAACGCCATTTTGACGCTCAAATATATATTGTAATAGTGTATTTTAACAGTTTACCTAATATATATTATGTAAGTAGATCTACTTCATTTTATATTAATAGTAAGACTATTAATATTAGTTATTAGTCTATCTAATTAAAATTTACCGTTCACATTTCAAATCAAACATTGTTACAGGTTACTTGGTCCCCTCAAAATGCATAGATAATATATAATTTATTATTAAAAATTAAAATAAGACATATGAAATGCATTAGTGTGTACCTACCTTACCTATTATTATACATTTATACGTATCAACTATTGCATACTCAAAATAATACAATACACCCTACATGACAGGACCGAATGATAAAGAAATACTTGTTAGAAATGGATGTATGGAAGTTAAATTTGTTATTATCTGTATCCATATTATGCATCATCAATTTCATTTATAACTCAACCCTATAACCCCATAACTCAAACCTAACCTAACGATATATTTAAGAAAAATATGATTTTTTTCTATTACGTTTTACACACTTCAAAGTACCTACCTACAATCACCAGCTAAGATAATTGTGCAAAATGAATTTATTTCATGTTGGTGTTATTATTCTCTCAAGGAATCCCTTGTGTAATACTGATGTCATTTTTGTCTTAAGTTACGCATTTGAAAATGTTATGAAACCTATAAAACATTAATACTCGATCTTAGGTGTAGGTACCATTACAGTGGATGACACATCCGGAATGGTGGAGTGTATTATTATGTATACATGTATAGTGTATACCTTCCATGACGTACCAGTCACCAGATATCTGTAGAATATAATATCATATGGATGAATTACTTTAAAATTTAAAATCCCTATTGAAACGACATTATTACATTAATTGGATTATGTGCGTGAACGTGTTGCAACACTTGTACACTATAAGATATAGTCAGCAGACCTATAAGCTTACAAACTAAGCTAATTAAAATGAATTTTAATTCGATTTTTTTCCGTCAAACTTAAAATGTCCACTTTTTGTAGTAATAAATAATATTATAATATGTGCATAGTCTTTTAAAACTATTTCAATTCTAAATAATAGATCATTTTACAAAAAAGTAAAAAAAAATACATTATGATTTTATGTACATTTCTAAGATAGGATATTATATTATAAATCCATGTAGAATTTAATTTGTTAAAGTTATAAAAATTAATAGTGCTTTCACAAAAAAAAAAAAAAAATATTAGATGAATTGTAAAATAAGTAAATAAATTGGTACATTATATTGTACATGGATAGAAACGAATAATATATTATATGAAACATAAACTATACCACATATAGTATACACAATACATCTTTAGAATTGGGTATGCAGTTTTGCACGTTTTAGGTAGTATTCATTTCATCAAAACACGTGGCTACATAGCATTACTTGATGGCCATGTCACGTTGGTCATGCATCCTGACGAACTAGTAGTTCATAAACAGGTAATTGATAACACACTATATCACGAATTTCTTGAAAAAAAAAAGGTTAAAAATATATGTAATGCCATTGAATTCGATTTAGGTGACCTAGACCATACGATATTACAATTACAGTGAACTAGAAAATATAATATAGTGTAATTACATGGAAATTGTTTTGGTTGTATAACTAATTTGTCTTATTTTTTAACGTATTGTATTCTTCGACTTCACTAAGTGAAAATAATAAAATATAAATATATTTTTATGTTTTTATTAAATTACTGAAATAATTATAAATTGGTTTTTTTAAACTAGTTTTTAGACCAAACATATTTTGCGAACGGTGGCGTCATTTGGACTTTGCAAGGTACATACATTCACGTATTGAAAATCCAATAGTTTTATGTGATTACAGTGGGCCACTTTTAAAATAGGTCTGTCTGAAAAATGGATAAATTCTAAACAATGTTTATAAAAATAAGCGTGTTATAAAAAATTTAAATAATGCCACTGTTTGCGTAGCCTGCGATTAGTTGGAAACTTGGAACAACTGAACTATTTTATAAACAACACTCAATATACAGATATTGCAGCATACAAGTACTATACAGATATCCAAATAAAAATTTAAACATTTGATTTGTGTAAGAAGATGTCAGCTCACTGTTTGTTTTCTCTCACTCCCCCACGCGCAGTATTGACAATTTGAGATCAGTAGATTCAAAATTGTGTTCTTAACTTTAATAATATATTAGAATGAAATAAACATTTAAACATAAACCTCTTTTTTGACCTATCATCAAAACTTAAACTTATTATCTTGGAAATTCCATAGATTTTTATTGATCTTTTAATTTTAAGTGAGTTATTATAATGCAAAATTTTAAAGTAGGTATTCATGTGACTGGCTTTAAAACTAAAATACCAATAAAGTCCAAATATTGGCTTTAGATAATATTTTTACCTTTAACTGTTATGGTAATTTTTTTATAATATTAAAGCTAAATACTAAATTTGTTCTGATTAACTCATATTTTACTAGTTTGCGCCTGAGTAAGAGAGATAAAACTACTACGAGTAGTGCACTGATTTCCTCTTAAACTTTAAAGGGAACGGTATATTTTAAACAAAACACACAAGTAATCAATATTTAGTAGTAAATGTTTAGTTTGATTGTTGTGAGGAAGGCAGAAAATTAATAATACTCTGTTACGAGGAACTTAAAGAAAGAAACGTGATCGACCAACAAATATTTTTTTTCTTTAATGTACTTATAAAAACGCAAATAAAATTTAAAAAAATATTTATTGTTACTTCATTAATTAAATATAATGGTGTGTATCATAAAAAGTGGATGGTTTTAGCTTTATGGTTTATCAATAATGAATATTAATGGCATCTGGTTTTTTAATATTTTCAGGTATTAGCTATTTTTATTTCTGCGATTTTTTCTGCTTGGAATCGCCCTTTATATTCAAAATTATAAACTGCAAATAAATTATTCTCTATCATTTCTGTGAATGAAGACCGGTTACTTATGTATAATAAATAATAATATTTCCATAACAATCTCGTCTAGAGCCTATCGTTTAAGAGCCCGAACAAGAACGAATACAATCGAATGCTACCAAATGAACCCATGTAAACGGTATAGCCAAACACAAACGAAGCATTCGTTTGCATTCGGAAGCCCTCGCTTCAAATGTGGTCTGATCGAAGCGTTCAATAATATGCGTTCAAAATCGTTCGGTAGAATTCGCTTGCATTCGTTCGTGCTCTTATGTAAACCTACCTATTCAGGAAAAATTATTCTATGTAGAAATATATGATGTGTAAAGGTAGAATATTTTATATAATTTGATTAATAACCATAGTCAATAATCAATTATACTCAAAAAGTTCATTTATAAGCATTTTAAGTTCAAATTTTGACCAAGTTCATCACAATCACGAAAATTTGCAAATTATCTTGTAGTTAAAAATGTGTAAAATATGTTACATTTGTACAGCTAAAGATTGGGAATGTAGACAAATTTTCCTCATAAGTAATTCATATTGTTACCAAAAAATCTAAATATTTTATAGACACAGTTTTTATTATTGTTATTAAGTTCAAATTTGGAAAAAATTACAAATTAATTAACCAGTTAACCAGGAATAATGGTTTTAGTTATTTTCTTGTAATTTAAAAATATTATTCGTGGTTACTTGAAACTCCTGAAGTATATTATTATATACAAATATGATAATATGTAAATAATATTAATTCTACTTACCGGCTACCGAATTAATAATAAAAATATAAATATACCTAATATAAAATATCCTAATTTTTAGGCTGACAAACCATCTCCACTCAGTATCGTTTTTCGTATACAATTATATTATATCATTGAATTCAAATCCAACACCGTCCATTGCAGTGACCCACTTGAAACTATACAGAAGAGCGTCACCCACTTACTCGCTTATTTTTTTTTAAATTTCATGTGGTATCACAACCTAGGCGAGAACTACGTTGGTATTACTTCCACAAAATAACCTAATTTAAACCTGATACAAAAGTTACCTACAACTAATGTTTTCTACATTTATTTTACAAAACAATAAATAATTTGATATTTTAAAATTACAAAAACAAATATTTAAAATAAAATGATTAACAATAATACCTATGTATTTATCAAAAACTGTTTTTTATGATTACTTATGATCAAATATTAAAGTCCAACTGATATGTAGAAAAAACAAAAGTCAAGATATTGAACTGTTTAAGGAAAATATAATACGATTTTAAAAATATGAAAATTAATAACAGCTGTTACGATGTACAAAAGTATAACGTTACACAAATTAACAAACTCTACAAATTCAAATGTTACATGAAACTGTATGTTATAAATTATAATGCATATGTTTATCGTATATTATATTTTAAAAAAAGTCAAAATTATAGTTTTTAGTTGTCAAAAGTATTTACTTTAAGTAATCGGTTAATATATTTTATACACAATATTAACTTAAAGTATAAGTTTTAATCAATTTTATTTATATTTATCTATTATCTATACCATAATCATAAAGCATAAGGTAAAAGTTATAAAACTTCAAAGTTCTTTAATTTTTTCTGTACTGAATGCCTTTATTTCCAAAAAAAAAAACAACTTCAAATTGTATTATTCGTGTGAATTACATTTCAAATCTTCAACTGACAAAAATAACTGTGAATTAACTATGAAACAGCAGATTATTGTTCTATAGTTGGAATTTTTAATTAGGAAAAAAACGGCTAAGCCTGATGCCATACGATACTCACTGAAAAGTTCAACATGTAGCCAATCCAATTTAATTTCAATTTCACCTCCTTGCCACATATCATTGAATTATTCAATTTATTTATGTTATTTTATTCAAAATTAGATAGTATATAGTTCAAGAACAATATAAGTTATATCATATGAACATTATTTTAAACGTATTAAATTATTATAATAATAATAATAGGAACAAATTTTTTTTCTAATTAATTGATAATAGTTCCAATATATTAATCATATCAGTCGAACTAGGTATACCTAGTTCAAACTTAAAACAACGTTGCACTCGGTGCAGTCTTTTAAAAACAATCTGAACGTAAGCTTATAAATAATAAACAATTATAGCTATATTGTGGAGGTTTGACAAAAAAACTCACTTGTTATAGTCGTTGTCGTGGTCGTCACGGTCGTTGACGGTAACCGGTAACTGATGTGCGTCGCCAATTGGCATAGTCGACAGCCTAGCCAGGTTCAGATAGAGCAGCAACAAGTTGGCGGCCAAAAAAGCCGTGTGCACATCGTCAGGAAGAGGAAGCGGGGAATATTCGGCGAACAGTGATGGTTCAAAATGGTCTTCTGCTTCATCTCCTTGAAACTGGTCAACATCACTGCCACAGCCACCGCCAGTATCGTCGATCGCCGAAGACAACCCCCGCATAGTTGTGTAACTGCTATAAAATTAAATAGTTTTGAGCTCCAATCTAATAAGCTTTGAACTAAAAACAAAACAAAATTCATACATATTTTTGAAAGTCATTGAACTCTCAGCACAAAATCTAAAAGGGTCCATCAGTTACGCTCTATCATTTTAAATATAAGATAAAACAACGTCACAAAAACGCGTTTTTTCGCCTTCCCTAGATTTTTTTTATTCCTTTACTTGTATAATTGATGGTTTTAACAGTTATTATTATTATTCGTTATTATTAAATAATAGCTTTAGTTTTATTATTTCACTAGCTGACCCCATGGACTTTTTTAGGATTTTCCATATTATTTTCCTTTTTAAATCACTCCTGTATTAAAGCGAACAAAACATAAAAAAAATATTCAAACCGGTCAAGCCGTTTTTGAGTTTTAAAACTGACGAACATTATTTCATTTTTATGTGTATAGAAATAATATTTATTACTGAATAATGATTTATATAAATAAAAAAAATTATACTTTTTAACAGTTTTAGTTTTTATAGTAAGGAAACCTTTTTTTTGATTTTGCATCAATAACTGTTTATACGAATCATAAAATCAACATCTTTAAATGCACAGTGGTTGACTGATATGTCTGGGGATAGTGGGGAAGGAAGCCGAAGTAGAATGAACGAAACGTTTTCATTAAAAAGTAGTGCACTATATTATAGACCAAAATTGGCTGAAACCAATCGGGAAACGAAAATGTAATTTGTTTAAAATAAACAGCGCAATGCTTCAATGTTTAGTAATGCTAAGTAATGTTATGATAAGTACACGATATATACCAAGTATGCTCACCTCCTTTTTTCTTTATTGATGTAGTCATACAAAATCTGATTTTTTTTAATTTTTAAGTACAAACGCTTTAAGAACATATTTTAAAGTTCTTGAGATTGTTTTGTACTACCTACTTAAGGTCCTGTGGAGATACAAGCTTTTGTTTTTCAAATAAGAACACCTATTCAACTATAAATTATATACAGCAGATAATTTTTTTGTAATTGTTGAAGTATCAAAATCAAAATTCGTACCAGTAGTTTTTGAGTTATTCAACTTTGTATTATGAGAATAAAATATCCATAGTAATAAGTTTATAAGACATGGGGGCTATAGTAATTTGAAAATTGTAGTCATTAATATTAATAATTTGTAAAAATGGCCCAAGTATAATAATAAAAAAGATCGAATTTTACTTAAATATTTTTTTTTTTTAAACCAGTTTTAAGGACTATTTAGTACAAACATTTTAATAACTAAGAAACCACTCATTCGATATTCGAATGTGGTACATAACAATTTTCAAAAAAATTATCTACTAATTAATTCACAGTAAAAGAGGGAGTTCTCATTTTAAAAACAGAAGTTTATATCACTATAGGATACTCCCTAAGTAGTACAAAAAAATTTAAGAATTTAAAAATATGGTCTTTGAGTATATTTAAAAATTTCAAAAGCCAGAATTTGAATAAATTTATTATCAATGGAGACAATGGTGGTGAACATAATTAGTATATATTTGGGGATCCTAGGACCTCCTCCTCCACCTCTACAGTCATTCACACGGCTCCCCCACCACTACACCTCCTTCAACACCGTTACAGGGCTCTCCCACCACTTCACCTCCGCCGTCGCATTACACAGTTTCCCTACCACTAGTCCTCCTCTTTGACTGTTACACCATTACATCTCCAGTACGGTAGAAAAGCCACTACTGGAACCACCACCTGTGGGGGCGGAGGAGGAGGTCCTAGAATCGGAAAATATATACTACTCATGCTCACCCCTATTGTTCCCTTTGATAATAAATGTATTCAAATTCTGGTTGAATCACCCTGTATATAGGAATATATACTTATCAACGAGGAAACTACTAGCTTTGTTATATAATAATTTATAATATGATAAGTCAAATCTTACATCAACTATGACCTAAGTATAGTGAATACTAAATACCCTATCGTATTTGCGTCACTAATATTTCAATAGGTACCTTTTGTATTTTTGTATTTTTTATTTAATTTCGTACATACATACATACATACATACATACATACATACATACATACATACATACATACATACATACAAATATACATACATACATACATACATACATACATACGAGTACTGGGCACCACTGAGAGAACTCGTGTTTCTATTTATATCCCTTTATAAGTGATTTTTTTCTCGTATAAACACTTCTGATCTGAATGCTATAAGCCGCTGTGGTTTATGATTTTCATATACTTAGTCGTTTAGAACAGTATACCTATATAGCTGGCATGATAAATGACGTATGAGCATAACGTCATTTTGTTCAAACAAACCTTTGTTCTACAAGTCTTACGTTATTATTTTTTCGACACTTCAAGATCTATATTTAAAACCAGCAACAATGATTTATTAATTTTATCCTCTAAACTCCATTAATAAATGTATGAGTAGGTATATTATCACGACTCCCATGATACTCAATATACATTTCCTACATAACAAAAGTTATTTTTTTTCTTCAAGTGTTTCCTTTCTTTAAAATCAAACCTTTAAAGTAGGTGAACAATTTATCACCATGATTATAAAACATGCTACATTTAATAGCTAATTTTATTTGTTCTTGAATTACAATAATATGTAGTACCTAAAAAAAATATATATTTAAATTTTTAAACAGAAAAATAGTAATTACAAATTAGAAAAAATGAACCTCACTAATATTCATGTTATTTCTAGTAAATTACCGAACTAGACATTAAAGAATATTTTAGACATATTTTTACTCCAAGTACGTATCGTTGGACCTTATTTAGTTGTGAGACAGTATATAGTCACGTCGTATAGAAGTTTTGTTTTTAATCTTACGAAACCTGCTGCAGTATGTATACTTAAGTATATCATTTATAAATGTATATAAAACATTTTATTTGAATAATTTCAAATGTAAATAACCAGATAAATCACTTATCATGGTTCGCACAATAAACAACAGTAGTGAAACAGCAAAAGCATGTATTTATTTTGTAAAGAAGTCGATTTGATATGTAAAATGTATGTATATTATGCCTATAATATAGTAGGCACTATGTGTACCTACAATAATAACTCAATTCTGCGGGTTCTATGTCGCATGATCAATCCTATAACATAGGCTATCGTAATTATTTATCAAGAATTATATTAGACAGACTTCTTGGGGCAAAACATTGTGGGAATTGGGCAGTTGTGTGTTGCATTATAAACCATTACAGGTATAAGTATTAAAATTTCGTGTTTAACACAATATAGTCGACTCCCAAATCGAAAAGTTGTAATTATTTTAATTCATCACAGTATTCAATTCGTTCTATTAGAATTTGTCAACCGATTTTATTTCAAAAACAGCAGTTTTTCTCTGAGTTAGTTGTCCACGACGAGGCTGAAACTAACCGTGAGATAATAAGTAATATTATAATTCGCGAGTAAATACGATGACTCATGTGATGTGTTATTAAATGTTCTTATTTAAATCCGCCTAAAACGAAAAATAAATCGTACCGTAACATTTGAACAAACACACGAATACGGAATAAGTGCAAGCATCGGAACATTTTCTCATGGTCACCCCGAAACATTGAACTCAATCGTGCCCCTCGTTATATTATTAATTTAACCATGCAATCGGCGACGGAAAATTTGGGAGAATCTTAACGACGATGCGCAAGCGGTAGCGGTGGATACGCGTATAACACGATAAATAAACGCTGCAGCGTTTTCGATCGCCAAAATCCATGTAATCACTTAATTTATTTAGATATGTATATTTTATGCCCATGTGCGGTCATGGTAATTTACACGGTGAATTATTTATGGCGGCTGAGCCCTACCCGATTTAGGACCGGTTCGTTCCTCCTTGTGTCTATTTTATATACGTTATATTATTATACTCCCGCCGGATAAATGAGTCATTGCCGTGGCTCCGAAGTGTTGCACGGTAGACGCGGGCAGGCGATACAATTCTGCTTCCATCTCGGCGCGACGTCTCAAAAACTGCAGACGACGGCGACGTTTTATTTACAGTGAGTGTGTGTGTGTGTGTGTGTGTGTGTGTGTGTGTGTGTGTGTGTGTGTGTGTGTGTGAATACCTTGCCCTCTGTTCGCGTCCTAATATTATTCGATTCGTCGGTTACGCGGTGCATACTAATATTATACACGCAAGCCAAGACGTGACGTCTGACGTGCCCAGAGATTTTAAGTTATGGACGGGTGGGGGAAGGGGGTAAGGGTGATGACATAAATTCTAAAACAAAAATAGATAACTTGAAAATAAGATGTTTGTTAGGGTTGAAATGGTGAGAGTTTTTCCATTAACTGAGTCATAATATTGTTAATTATGAAGTGTCAAATTCTAATTATATTAATTTTTGTTGTTTTTAATAAAAATTAATTTTTGGGTTATTTTTTTATAAAGTTGTATATAAGGTTGGTTAGATTACCTAACCTCTAAATATTTTTTTTTTTAATTCGTAAATTTTTTTAGTTAAACTATTTATTTTTAAAATAAATTTATAAAAATAAAATTCAATTTTTATATACATTTTTAAACAAATGTAATATAATGGTATTTGATTGAAAATGGGTGTTTTTTTAGTATTTATTTTACATTTTATGAAATTATTTAGTTTTTAGAACATTTTTAAGCATATTTAAGATATTTTCATAGTACCGTTTAAATGTCGGTTAAAATATGATGACATATTTTTAAGAAAACAATTTAATACTAAGTTTTTTAATTTGTTGGTGCATACAGGGAATAGTCATATGTCTATCACATTTAAGCATTCTTTAAAGAATATATTTAGCTGGTATTAAATACATATATATATCCAGGAACTATATTAATAACACAATATTAATTATATTATTTATTTGGTAGCTTTGGCAACTTTGTAGAGGGAAGAATTCTGAATTTCCCTCCTTGCCCAGTGAATACGCCAGGCACACCT